CCCATTTCCCACATGTGTACTATTTTAATTTCATTTCTCTCTCCTGATAAAGCTCCTGTGCTTTTGAGAGTTGTAGGCAACACAAATATTTAACAAATTAGAGATGTCCTATCAATACAGTTTGGGATCTGGCTTGAGGTATCTAAAAATACCTAATTGAATACGTAGGCACACGGCTGTGTGTGGAATGAAAGTAATGATCCCCCCTGAGTGGGTTACAGTTTGTGTAAGGATAAGGAAGCTGAGGCAGGAGAAGTACAGTGTTTAGATCAAAAAGCCACATCCTCCAGAAATGCATTTTTTGGGGGGTAACTGGGTCTACACAGTTATTCAGAACCTTACAAGAGCTTTTGAGGACTTCACACTAATCTTCCTCTAAGGGTTCTGTTCAGGATTAAGTTGAAAGAGAAATGTTTTTCATATGATTTGCTCCATTAGTTCTTGAAAGCTTTTCTCCCATCAAAGAAGCAGATGCTGGCATGAAAATAGAAATTTTGTTAAATTCCACTAATGATTATGAAAAAAACAAAATACTGTACGGGGATCCAAGAAGGAATTAGTTTTCTAAGTTTTACCAGAAAAGCTGTATCAGTATTTTCCTTACACAAAAGGGATTCAGAAGTAATTTCATAATCCCTTACCTGCTGCCAGTCACATAGTGAGGATCATAAACTTGCTGTGCTACACCAAACTCATCTTGCTTTACATGCAGTACAGTACAAATGCACTTATTTCAGCCACTTATTTCAGCCATAAAAATATGTATATAATTAAAATTTCAATGCAACCAGATAAGCAGTATGTAATTAATACAGTTAAAATGATGAATTCACATCCCATAAAAATCATTTATCCAACTAATGTGTCAAGCAGATGAGCATCCAGGAAATCTGTTTTGCCTTGGCAAAGGTAATGATAATGTAGCCACTTTCCTAACTGACCTTCCTATTTCCATTTTAAAGCATACCATTTTGGTGTCTGTGCATTTGATCAATGTTTGCGTCCCTTCAACAACATGATAAGGATTTTTAAAGTTGGGTACCTAAATGAACTGTGTGGCAAATCCTCTATTTCCGCCTTCTGTTGGTATGTTAGTGCTAATTTTAAACGAGTGTTTGAACTTGTAGCCTCTTTTTCCCATGATTGTAGGCAGCACAAAGTGAGATACAAAAAATATATTGTATTAATTCAACACCAGTAAAAACATTTCACGGTCAAGTGGCTGTATTAAGACTGACAGCGGATTCAGCATAGATATGGGCACAGGTCTACCCTCTTTGTCTCAGCCGTTGAGTATTTGATGTATTCCAGTCAAATGCTTGGGGAACAAGAGAAGAGAACGCTTATGTGCTCAAAAGCCTCATGGACTCTTCAACACATTTGCCAAAACCTTTTCCAGCCCATTCTGCTACTCTTCATCGTCTGGGAAAAAAAAAAGGATTGTCTAGGGAGCAGGGGGAATTAACAGCCAGCTACGTGACTCTTCAGAAGTCATGGGACTTGACTGAGGATGGATCACTATCAAGAATTCTGAGGAGAGTTCAGCCTACTTAGATCCTATTAGCTGGTTCCTCCTTGTAGCTACCAGCCAAATATTATGTGGTGCAGTTTCCTTGAGCTTCATCTCCAAATAATAGATAGATAAAAAAGAAAGATAAAGTAAATTAAATTAAATGCTAGCAGGAGGGAAGGCCTTAACATAGAGCCATGTTTTTAGCTGAGTTTTAAATGTACCCAGGGTAGGGGCCGCGCGAATCTCAGGAGGGAGATTGTTCCAAAGGTGAGGAGCCACCGCCGAGAAGGCCCGGTTTCGTGTCTTCTCCCTCCGGGCCTCCCTCGGCGTCAGGCTCCTCAGCCTCACCTCCTGGCTCGCGCGGGTGATCCGGGTAGAACTTGGTGGGTGAAGGCGTTCCGCCAAATATCAAGGTCCCAAACCGTATAGGGCCTTATATGTAAGCATTAAAACTTTGAAGTCGATACGAAAACCGATGGGCAGCCAATGCAGTCTAGCCAGGATAGGAGAAATGTGATGGTATTTTCTCCCTCCAGTGAGGAGTCTGGCTGCTGCATTCTGCACCATCTGAAGTTTCCGTATCAACCTCAAAGGTAGCCCCACGTAGAGCGCGTGTGTTTGTTACCAAACTATCAAGCCAGATCTTAGACTGGTTGAAGTAAATTACTTGTGCCATACAGGTGTTTATCATAGGCATCCTTCAGTCTCGAGAGACTATGGTAATATGCTCTGTATGGAGGACTTGGAACAGCGTCTAGTGTTTTGATGCTGTACGTGAAGCTGGAGTGTACTCTCCAGGGCACAAAGTCTGGATAAAATAATACGGATGATAGGCTGTTATCCAAGTAGCAAATCCCCCCCTCTCCACATCGCTGAAATAGCCCAATGGAAAGGCAAGAGCCAATACAACTGGTTTCAGTGACATCGCAGGAGTTGACAGAATGACATCAACTGCCTCTGGGACTCTGGCTCTGGTGCCTCGAGATTAACTCCTGAAGCCTTTTCCATCAGTGGATATAGCTGCAAGGCAATGGAGGTTTCAGGTCAGAGTTTTCCTTCTCCTAGATGAGCTGCCTTCCAGGGCTGAATGAGTCCCACCTACCGGCCTGCTCCCTCATGCCATGACTATACATCCCAAGTTACAGAGGACTATCTTGCATACAAGAGGGATTCACAGGGCACTTCTCTGGTTATTTGTATTTAATCTTCTTAAGCCTCAAGTTATCTCCATATTACATATAAGGTATTGGAGTGTTTTCATAATACCTTCAGAAAGAAGCTGAAAAATAATCCTCTCCAATTTGAATTGCTCAAACTCAATGCATTGAAGCCTATGAGTGATCCAGTGAGGATCTACATGTTAAGGTGCTACATTCAATGTGCCAGCAAGTTTGGAAAACACAGCAGTGGCCAGAGGACTGGAAAAGATCAGTCTACATCCCAATCCCAAAGAAGGGCAGTGCCAAAGAATGCTCCAACTACCGTACAATTGCACTCATTTCACACGCTAGCAAGGTTATGCTCAAAATCCTGCAAGGTAGGCTTCAGCAGTATGTGGACCGAGAACTCCCAGAAGTACAAGCTGGATTCCGAAGGGGTAGAGGAACTAGAAACCAAATTGCTAACATGCGCTGGATTATGGAGAAAGCTAGAGAGTTCCAGAAAAATATCTACTTCTGCTTCATTGACTATGCAAAAGCCTTTAACTGTGTGGACAAAGCAAACTATGGCAAGTCCTTAAAGAAATTGGAGTGCCTGACCACCTTATCTATCTACTGAGAAACCTATATGTAGGACAGGAAGCAACAGTTAGAACTGTATGTGGAACAACTGATTGGTTCAAAAATGGGAAAGGAGTACGACAAGGCTATACATTGTCCCCCTGCCTATTTAACTTATATGCAGAATACATCATGTGGAAGGTTGGACTGGAGGAATCCCATACCGGAATTAAGATTGCTGGAAGAAATATCAACAACCTCCGATATGCAGATGATACCACTCTGATGGCAGAAAGTGAGGAGGAATTAAAGAACCTTGTAATGAGGGTGAAAGAGGAGAGTGCAAAAAACGATCTAAAACTCAACATCAAAAAAACTACGACCATGGCTACTGGTCCCATCACCTCATGGCAAATAGAGGGAGGGAAATATGGAGGCAGTGACAGATTTTACTTTCAATGCAGATGGTGATAGCAGCCACAAAATTAAAAGACCCCTGCACCTTGGGAGGAAAGCGATGACAAACCTTGACAGCATCTTAAAAAGCGGAGACATCACCTTGCCAACAAAAGTCCGCATAGTCAAAGTTATGGTTTTTTTCCTGTAGTGATGTATGGAAGTGAGAGCTGGACCACAAAGAAAGCTGACCACCAAAGAATTGATGCCTTTGAATTGTGGTGCTGGAGGAGGCTCCTGAGAGTCCCTTGGACTGCAAGGAGAACAAACCTGTTCACTGGAAGGACAGACCCTGAAGATGAGGCTCCAGTACTTTGGCCATCTCATGAGAAGAGAAGACTCTTTGGAAAAGACCTGGATGTTAGGAAGTATGACAGCAAGAGGAGAAGGGGACGACAGAGGATGAGATGGTTGGACAGTGTATTCGAAGCAACCAACATGAATTTGACACAACTACGGGAGGCAGTGTAAGATAGGAGGTCCATGGGGTCACGAAGAGTCGGACACGACTAAACGACTAGACGACAATGATTATGCACATCCCTCAGCATGTACTTGCATGCATAAATGGGTCATCAGAGATCTAATGCAGTGGTCTTGTTCACTAACCTTTTGATGTGAGACTAATTACCAACACTGTGAGTCAAAACATTCCATGGTATAGTAGTCAGGTCATGCTGCTCTATGTATACCAAATTTCATTTTCTGTTCTGAATGTTTCCAAAAAGAAAATTGAAGAAAAAAAAATCTGCCAATGGCCAATATTCTGTTGCTTAGTGTAGTAAAGTATACTAGAGTAAGCCTATTGAATTCATGAGGATTTGGCGAGTCAGCTCCTCCATAAGTTCCATTAAATCAAATGGGTCTGCTTTAACTGTGACTTATATTAGCATGGTGTGTTGCAGTTAGGGTGGACCTGTTTGAATTAATGGAACATATGGAGGAGTAGCCTCACTAAAATCCAATTAATTCTATGGGCCTACTCTAGTCTGATATATTATCCTAAGCAACAGGACTTTTTGGCCAATGGGTCTTTACACACATGGACAGACAAGCAAACAAGTTGTAATGTTCCAAAGAATGAGGAAGTCAATGTTTAGCTTGTAATCTTTACATCCACTTTCCCATGAGCAAGTCCTACTAAATTTAATGGGATTCCTTTGTTCATAGATGAATTCCACATTAAAATTATCTACTGAGTTGACATATATAAATACGTATTTTGAAATTCCTCTGAAATGCCTCCCTTGTTGGAGAAAGACACACGAAACACTTGTATCACTGAGAAACAGCTTTTAATTTCCTTTTACCTTAGCGATGGATTCATGTGGAGTGAAGGAAAAATCCACTTCCTCCAATGCTGTTGGATGTACAGGGAAAAGAACTTCAGAGAGAAAGCTCACAGCCTGTGGGGAGGAAAAGAAGAAACCTTTAAGATGCCTTATTGATTTCCTTCCTCAAATACTTTATTGGCTTTTCTTGAAAGGTTCAAAGGACCTCAAATTGTTTTAAAGTTTGTGCCGATGATGAGACTTCATTTCAGTGATGTAATTTACTCATTCCAGCCCTATGGAACAGAAACAAAGAGCTCCCCCCCAGCTCTTCCCCTCCCCATCCCTCTCTTTCTGTCTCATTCTCATATCATTCAGTAATGATGCCTGTCTTTTGCAAATGTACCTCCCCATTCAATGTATTCTTTTGCTGAAGGAGAGAAAAAATCCATACTGATTTCATTTTAATGTAGCTAATAATTTCAAGACCAAATGACTAACTGACTTGTCAGAAATTCTCTCCCTCTCTCTATTTGATGCTATCAAAAACAAAAAGTGCCTTTATCGGAGAAATTGCACTTTACCTTTAAAATACCTAGGATTTTTAAAAAGTATTTGCATTTTTTTTTGAACAAAAAAAAAATAAGCAACACTCGAATGGCATGAAACACCATCCCTTGCAGGTGCTCACAAGCACAAATTCCTTGCAACTGGAATCTTTTTGGTTGTTGTGAGTTTTTCAGGCACAGCACAGAGTGCTGTCCTTTGAAGATGCCGGCCACAAACCATTAGGAAGAACAACTTTCAGAACACGGCCACAGAGCCCGAAAAACCCACAACAACCATTGGATCCCGGCCGTGAAAGCCTTCACGAATACATGGAATCTTTTTCTTTGCAGGAAAACATGAAATCATACTTTCATGGTGGCTTGGAAAAACAGAGAAACTGTTTAAAACCTAAATACCCTTAAAATGCACTAGCATGTACAATACTCACGCTAATGGACATGTACCTAGGTTCACAAAACCCAGATGGCAATATCTGAAAGGTATTGTACCTGTGCCACCTCTGGGCTTACTTGCTGAGGAACTGGACCTTTTTGGTGATGGCCACAAGGCTTTGGAATATGTTACCTGCAAAAGTTTACCATGCTCTCTCCCGCATCACCTTCAGAAAGCTAGTGAAAGCTGTGCTTTTAAAAGAGGCCTCTAAGAGTATCCTTCCCTTGCAGGAAACCTGATGATTTATTGTCTGATGTCTGGTTTTTAATTATTTTTAAAGCTATCACCATCATAGTTTCTCGAGGAATTTGGTTTGTCTTTTTGGATGGTTGTGGGGTGTGAGGGATAGGTTTACTTGCTGTACATCATCCACAGTTGTGGCTTGCCACAAGATGGGTGGTATATGAATGTAACAAACAAATAAATAAGAAACTTTGGCACACAGGAAGATTGTTGTGGCTAAGTGACTGAACTGAGTCCTTTCTCATTTGAAGCTGACTTGTGCTGTGAATTCATTAGGTAGCTTTAACCAAGACAGTCATTGCTCAGCCACAGAGCTCTTACCTATAATAAAGGGGGTAATGGTAATTATTGAAAAAAACTACAGACAGATAAAACACTTGAAGTACATAAACTCTTTAAGAGACTATAGAAAAGATAAATGGCTGCTGTTGCTGGTGCTGGTGCTCATCTTCATCATCATCATGGGTCTGAAATATTTAGCATCTGAATATTGAGCCACTATGGTCAAAAGTAGGATTGAAGAATTCTAAATGCAATTCTGGTGAAGACTTTTTCTCCTCTGGTAATGTTTGCCCACGTAGGTGATAAACACCCATGTCTGAGGAGTACGTTTCTCGAAATTCTCCAAGCTTGAACTGCTGACATTCTAAAGCCACCTCTTGGGTGCTGAATTCATTTTATATACAGTTGCTAGAGTCCCATATTTTAGAATGGTTAATGCCAAAACCATGGTTAATCCATTCCTCGCTCACTAGAAAGTTCCTTCCATTTTAGAGGCCGCATATTACTGTGAAATGTTGAAATGGAAACGTTGGGCTTAAAAGTAACATTAATGCTGCTCGGAGATTTAACAGGATTGATTAGCTGTGCCTGGCATTTCGCAATGTTTTCTTCTTGCTTCTGACAGCCAGGACGTTTCTGCAGGAAGGGGCTTTTGGTTCTTTTTTAGCTTTACTGGTTGAAAAGGTAGGAATCGGAAAAGCTTCTTCTCATAGTTTGCACCCCTTCTCTAAAAGGAATTAAGCCTGGCTGCTTCGTTTAAATACATTCAAACGTTGGTGACATTTCAAGGGTGGTTTATATTTGGCAAGCTTTCTAGCAATTTCTGTTCCAAGCAATTTTCATCCACAACCAGAACCCCACCCCTACCCCTGTGATACAATCCCATTCTCTCTCTATATATTTTTTTCTCTCTCTTTTAAGTCATGCCATCTTGGCAATATCTTGTTTGGAATTTAATTGTTATAATTGTGTGTGTGTTTAGTCGTTTAGTCGTGTCCGACTCTTCGTGACCCCATGGACCAGAGCACGCCAGGCCCTCCTGTCTTCTACTGCCTCCCGGAGTTGTGTCAGGTTCATGTTGGTTGCTTCGCAGACACTGTCCAGCCATCTCATCCTCGGTCGTCCCCTTCTCCTCTTGCCGTCACACCTTCCTAACATCAGGGTTTTTTCCAAGGACTCTTTTCTTCTCATGAGATGGCCAAAGTACTGGAGCCTCAGCTTCAGGATCTGTCCTTCCAGTGAGCACTCAGGGTTGATTTCCTTTAGAACTGATAGGTTTGTTCTCCTTGCAGTCCAGGGGATTCTCAAGAGCCTCCTCCAGCACCACAATTCAAATTGTGGTGTGTGTTATAATTGTATTGTTGTGATTTTATTCATGAGATATTGATGTTTTTAT